TTTCATCACATCTGATTAAAGCCTTTTGCAAAACAAACTAACATAGGTGTGTATTGATAGGGGAGAAAAGTTCATCAAGATATTACAATAAACTTGCAAAAAGCTAGACTCTGCCTTAGAAGCTTTTCTGTTGAACATGACAGCACGGGAGAGTAGGGGATGGCTCAAAGAAAGTCACATGCTTCTAAGTGTTAGTATTTACATATACACATCCCTGGCAAATATGGATCATACTTTCAGGTGTTGAGTCTTACCATTACCGCTAGTAACCCGAACGCACAAAAAAAAGGCTATTTCGGTTTGCTTGAAACATATTGTGCAAGTCAGACTAATGATACAGGTGCTGGAAAATGAGTGTAAATAGAACACAGGAACACCACCTCTGCCTACGACTCAATAATAGGAAGCCAGAGATCTTTTAAGAGTGCATCTGTTTCTGTAAATTTACACTGTACTTTCGCTTGTGTGCCTGAGATGTGGCTGATTCTTTTGCCTTAAGGGGACAACAGACCATAAAAAATGTTAAGTCAACAAACTTTTATACAGAAAATGCTGTCATGTAGATGTAGGAAGAACAGAATTCCTGGGCCACAAAGATCTAGGAAAGATAATTTTCCTGTTCTTCTAATCCTGTTTAGTCAGTTCCCAGTCTTCAACCTTCCACTGCCACTGTCATATTGCAGTTTCATTCAAGTAAACTCTACTTAAGACATCATGATTTACAAAAAGCTTTCTGCTTGTCGTACACAGGCTTGTTGTAAAAACTGACTGCTCTCAATGGGACTTCATTTGTCTTCAGTCTTGTGAAGACGAGTTTGTTTCAAGGGAATCACAGATCAGGTACGCACTGGGATCTGACAGCATCTTTCCCTGGTTGTAGTATCAAGAGGTCTACCATTTGGCCAAAGGACAAGCATGTAGAAAATACCGGTAACCAAATGGCACCAAACCCCACATCTGTAACCCTGACGTCCAAACCCACGCAGTGTTGCTGCTCCTCTCTTCTCCTGTCTCCCTGGTCACCGCCGCTTCCCGGGTTCATGACGCCAGCCGTTTTCCTCAGCGCTGACCAAGCGACCCCGCTTCCCCTCAACCGCCGTGCCGGGGGGCGGGAGGGAAAGGACACTCAGGACATGCCCCGGCGGGGCGCGCTGGATTCTACTTAAGTCTACTTCCGCGTTGGCCGCCGCCAGCCGTCCTTCCCGCACGGCGCCTTCACCCTTTCTCCGAAGGGAAACAAAGGATCCGCTCCCCGCGAGCGTCTGCAGCGACCTCCGGGCAGCACTACCCCAGCTTCGGTCGGTTCGGGTCACACGACGGTTGGGAAGGGCCCCTCACCCCACAACCCCTCGCACGGGCGTCCCCGTCGGGTAACAGGCACCGAGCCGCTGGCGCCACAGGCCGCCTGGAAGCCCCTACCGCAAGGCAGGAGGCGACCCCAAGACCGCTGAGACCTTCAGTAGCCCCGCACGATAACAATGGGCGCTGCTACCCCCTGCCCTAACCTGCCCTCCCCGACCGCCGCCGTTACCCGCCGTCCGCCTCAGCTCTTCCCGCCGACCCTCTGCTCCCGACATGACCGTGAAGGAAAGCAGCCCGCCGCCGCACCTTCCCGGGACTGGCCCGCCTGCCCGGCCCGGCCCTGCCCACGTTCCGCCTCGGAGGAGGGCGGTTGTTGCCTTTTCCTCCGCCGGCGGTCGCCCCCTGTGTAAGAAACAGGACGGGAGATAGAAGGGAGCGCGGCTGGGTCGTGCGGGTCTGCGGCAGCAGCGCTCAGCGGAGGGGCCACGCTGCAGGTCTTCGGGCTGTCCCGGGGCTGCGGGGGTACCGCCGCTCCCAGACGGTGGATCCGTAACGCCGGTGGCTTGGTGTTGAGGTCCCTGCTCGGGAGATGGCAGAGGCCGGCCGCTGTCAGTGGGAACTCAAGCGGGAAAACTGAGGGATGTGTTAAGAGAGTCTGCGATTACTTTGGAAGTTTGCCACGCATTGTCTGTGTTCCTGTGATGTGTACTTCAGTGGCCGTGTTCCATGGACTGCACTGCCATAGGCATCGTCCTGAAACATGGCGAGAAGCTACTGTTTGCTAAATCCAGATTTTTCAGAACTGTACTTAAAGCCCCCTTAAAGACACATGCTGTTGTCTTGCAGTAAAACTCTTAGCCAAAATGCATTTTTGGACATGCACCCACATGTAAACCCTCGAGAGGTCTGGGTGTATGTAATTTTGCAGCTTTGTGCTACTCTTGCATCAGTTCTCTTTGATCTCTCAGAACTCTGAGGAGAGCCCCAAGGTACTGAAGGGAGTGCTGAGATAACAAAGGCTGATATTCCCAACCTGTTCATTGTATGGCACTTACTGTTGGAAGTAAAACGAACAGTTTCTAAACCAAAGCCAATGACAAAAACATCCTTCTGTATAAGAGTTTTGCAGATTTGTACCATGGATAGGTATGAATTTCCTATCTGGACTATTCCTAGGTAGGCACTAGGATAAATGCAGCTATGAATACACTCTTCAAGATCGCTGCAACAAGCATGAAAAGAGGTGGATATAGAGTGGGTATTTTTACGCAGTCTGGTCTGTTTTTCCACAGGCTTCTTGCATGAAGCCTTTTAGACTTTAGCCTTTTAGACAAGACGTCTCCTTTTTGGTTGAAGGAGCCATGGGTATTTCTAATTACCTTTGCTTGCTTTCCCTTTGTTTAGACTTGTCTTCAGACTGCCAGCAGGCAGTGAGATCAAGATAAAACCATTGTTTAAATTGTCTTTGTGTACACTGTAGTTAGAACATGATACCATTGTAACAGCTCAGTGTCTTCCACTGGAAGACACTAAATGTGGAACGTTTAGACTCTTAACAAGCAGATTCATTGTTTTGCAAACTCCAAATCCCAGCTCTCAGCTCATGCTAGAGCTGCCCTAAGCCGACTGGCAGCAAGTGTGAAGTAGCAGCTGTAAAACCTGAATCTAGGACTCTGTAACAGCTTTGTGTTCGGCACCTTGAACTTGCTCAGCCCTGCTCCTCAGTCCAACAGTTTGCTTAGATCCTAGTAAGACAATCAAACGTGCTTTCCACTTTGTTCTGCTGGAGGTGAAGAGCATACGCAATCAGCCAGTGTTCAGATGAGTCACCCGGAACGTGATCACAGTGTATGATGCCTAAGATAGTGTTTGACTGGTGTGCATTTCAGTTGATTTTAATATATGGAAGTTTTTTGTTATATGCACATGTACATGTTTGAAACACTTTCAGACTGTTGCAGTAGCTTCACCGTAAGTGGGAAGTAGGTATTTTTGGAACAAGTATTATGGATGTTTCAGGAACGTGGTTCAAAGAAGTAAGTTTGATTGTGGACACACTGCTGTTGTTCAGATCACAGAATGGTTTGGATCAGAATGGACCTTAAAGATCATTCAGTTCCAAACCCCCTGCCATGGGCAGGGACACCTTCCCCCAGACCAGGTTGCTCAAAGCCCCATCCAGCCTGGCCTTGAACACTGCCAGGGAGGGGGCAGCCACAGCTTCTCTGGGCAACCTGTGCCAGTGTCTCACCATCCTCACAGGAAAGAATTTCTTCCTAGTACCTAATCTAAATCTCTCCTCTTTCAGCTTGAAGCCATTCCCACTTGTCCTATCACTGTATCATCCAGAAAAGCAAAATAGCCTGAGGAAGACAACTGGAATAAGACTTTAACCTGTAAGAAAAAAAAAGTAAAATCATTGCAATATTTAGAGTATTACAGATTACATGAAAGCATGCAATACTGAGTCACATGCCAAGAGCTGCTATATATAGTATTATTGTGGTTTAATAGGGCAGGCGGATAACACACAGCCATTCGATTGCTCTTCCATAGCGGAAGGGAGGAGAGAATCATAAAAAAGGTAAACTCATGGGTTGAGATAAAGACAGTTTAAAAGGACTGGAAAGGAAGGTAAAATAATAATGATAAAAGAATATGCAAAACGAGTGATGCACAATGCAATTGCTCACCACCTGCAGACTGATGCCCAGCCAGTCCACAAGCAATAGCACAGCTGTCATTCCCCAGCAACTCCCCCCAGTTTTACTGTACAGCAGGATGCTGTATCGTATGGAGTATCTCTTTGGCCAGTTGTGGTCAACTGTCCCAGTTATGCCCCCTCCCAGTTTCTTGTGCACCCCCACCCTACTTGTTGGAGGGGTGCTGAGGAGCTGAAAAGTCCTTGATTTAGGCTAAGCACTGCATAGCCACAACTAAAACATCTGTGTGTTACCAGCATGGTTCTCAGGCTGAAACCAAAACACAGCACTGGACCAGGTACTAGGAAGAAGATTAACTCTATCCCAGCTGAAACCAGGACAAGTATTATTTTTTTATACTTGCATATAAATATGTAAGTTGTTAATGGTATGATTAATCCTGCGGGTGACAGCTAGTCTTCATTTTGGGGCTGTGGCCTGTAAAATGCAATTTGTGTAGTTTGCAGGATTTCTGCTGCAGGAAAAACTTAAAGATTTTGTGGAAGAAGTCAAATGCTTCCTCTAGTTTGCAAGCATAACTATTAAAGTGCTATCCAGCAGGGTTAAAGCTCTTTTCTGTGTCACAAATGGTTTGAAGGAAACTCTGGAAGGCTTTCATGGTATAATTAAAGGTCAACACAGAAGGGAACAAAAACAGTGAGGATTTTCTGTGTTTAAGCATCTAGTTTAAGCTCTTCCTACCCAATTCTAACTGAATTACAGAGTTTTGGACTCACAGCGGTACTTTTTTTACTTTCCACAAGCAATGTCATTACCATTCCACGCTTTGGTGTTGTCAGACTTTAAGGATTCCAACCATGGAATCCCAGGGTAATTCAGAATTATTTCAACTCTATGGCAGAAAACACATTTTGCAAAATTTAGAGAAACCACAGGTTCTTCAAGCACAGTTTTGTAAAACTATAGTAATACTTGTCCTACAGTGCTACTTCATATCCACAAATAGGAAAAGAAACCACGAAGCACAGCCAAAGGACTTTAGCAGGAACTTTATTCTATGAGGCACTTGCATTCACTGTCATGTACAGTAAGCTGTCCTGGTTTCAGCTGTGGTAAGAGTTAATTTTCTGCCTAGTAGCCCTAGCGAAAAACAAGACAACCCACAAACAACTGATGCAGAAAAAACATATAAAGTACTTCCAGAGGAGAAATCATGTTACAGTTGAGGAGTCTGGCAAATTTTAGGCTTTTAGCATGGCTTCCACTCCCTGCTTGCAGACACAGTATTTTCAATTTCAGTCCTCCTGTGGATTTCTAAAGCAGAATCAAGGGAGCAGGATTTCATGACAGAGGGCCTACTGCAAAAGTTAACTAAGGACTGACAACTGGAGGTAAGCAACGAAAGATCAGTACAGGGAACAAACCCAAAATACTTCAGATATCAGGTGATTTCGGCTGAAGAAGTCAGAGAGCAAAGAGGTGGCTGAAGTACAGGCTCAGATGTTTCTCAGCCTCACAGAGGTCATGGCAACAGATGACAAATACAGGCTCAAATATCCATCAGCCTTGCAGAGGACATTTTAAATAAAAAGGTTTATTTGGCATACTGACCCTAACAGTGGAACTTTTAGGTTTTATCAGAAAGGACTAAATGAAAGATCAATACAGTAACCAAGCTCTGCCACGAGACAAAATATAAATCAACTTCTTTAACAATGTATATTTTCTATGCATATAATACATAACAAAAAAAAAAAAGAGTTCTATTTGAAAAATAAACATTTGATTTATTTTTAAAATAACATAACTACATTCCACCATTCTGTCAAATTAAAAGTGTATCCTTAGGTTGCAAACCATTCATTTCAGTGGCCAAGCCTTAAAAGGATCAACATATTTGATAAGAAAAGTCCTGCAGAAGTAAGGTTGATGTAGAATCAGGTAGAAATACGTTGTGCAGATGTACACCCTTGCTCAGGGCTTGGGGGTTTTGTTTGGTTCTGTTTGTTTTAGTAACAAATCCATGGGACAAAATCCATCAGAGAGAACTGAAGGCAACTGTACCACAAGCAGGATCTATCAGGTGCATCAACTGCTAGCAAACCTAAAATGTGACCTATATTAAAAGTCATCTGAGAATTCAATACAACTCTTCTGCGCCTCTGATTTCCCTATTGTGGAGTTTTCTTCAAAATCTTAAAGTAGCGTTTTAAAATAGCTTACCCTGAGTGGACATACACCAAAGGAAACTAACTACAGTTTCAAGCTTCTGGCATAAAGGGAAGAGAAAGAAGAGTTGTTTCAGTTTTTACATTAGAAGAATATCACAGTGACTTTCAAACCAGTATATTCATGTCAGTGTCTAATATATTACTGTCTGAAAAGCATAAAACTTTGTAACCAAACACTTGCTTCATTTCAGATGAGTCTTTGACTTATTCTACACCATGAAATCTCTGTACCTTCTTTCAGAGATCTGTCTTATCCTCGTAACGACACATACATGCAGCTCTCTGGCTATCCAGATATGGTTTACATCCTAAATGTATAACCACATCAAACAACAGCTGAACAGTTGATTCACAAGCTGCAAACAAAGAGGAGTTCAGTTAAAAGTACTCTTTGAAGAGAACAGGAAACTAACAGAAATTACTCTGGCAAAGAGAGCATGATGCTAAGAATGAAGAAGTCTTCTCTGGGCTTAGCAAATAAATTGTCAAATGAAAGACTGGGCCAATACAGAATAATTTCCGAGTAACGATTTTTCATGCGCCGAACAAAATGAACAAGATAATTCACTGCATATGGAATGTTATCAGTGTTAGAAACATAGAGTCATAGAATGGTTTGGGTTGGAAAGGACCTTAAAAGTCATCTAGTTCCACTCCCCCTGCCATGGGCAGGGACACCTTCCACTAGACCAGGTTGCTCAAAGCCCTGTCCAACCTGGCCTTGAACGGGGGCCCCAGGGATGGGGCAGCCGCAGCTTCTCTGGGCAGCTTGTGCCAGTGGCTCACCATCTCACAGGGAAGAATTTTTCCTAATGTCTAATCTAAATCTGCCCTCTTTCAACTTGAAGCCATTCCCCCTTGACCTGTCACTACGTGTCGTAGCAAGTCCTTCTCCATATTTCTTGTAGGCCCCCTTTAGGTACTAGAACCTGCTCTAAGGTCTCCCCATAGCCTTCTCCAGGTTGAACAAGCACAATTCTCTCGGCTTCTCTTTGTAGGAGAGGTTCTCCAGCCCTCTGATCATTGAAAAGCCTGAAAAACACCACTTGGCCCTGGAAAGATGAAAGAGCTGTTTTTCCTCCTCACTTTTTGCATCCCAATTTATGCAGAGGCTGCTGTCTTCAACAGCAGCTCAACAGAATTGAGCATTCACCAACTGTGACACTACACACTAACGTCATGACTTAGCTGCAGTTAAATGAATTTGAAAAGTTTAAACACAGGCCTGTTCTAAAAATTTTCTGCTCTCTATGGGAGTACTTACTGTAAAAGTGACACTGTCCAAGTTAAAAAGTGTGGCTACGTCATGTATTCATCAGATGCAGGCCAACAACCAGAATGAGTACCATATGGCCTGTTATTAAACCCCCCTAAAATATATTCACTAAAGGATAGCATTAATTACTTCTACTATAACAGTATATTACTCTAGTATCTGATTTCATAAAAGGAAACAATTCATTTTTTCCCTACAGTTTACTAGCAATCACACGTAGTAGACATATAGAAATCACCAGAAAAATGAACATTCATCTATGCTACAGTAAGTGCGAGAATTATACATGCATTTTGATCAAGTTATATTCTCATATTCATACTTCTAAAGGGGAAGCATTAGTTTTTCCCCTTAAGGTTAGTGTTAGCCCTGATCATTTTCCTGTGCTGTGTCACTGCTGTGCTGTACAAGTGTCTGGGCTGCATGACAAGAGGGACAGAACAAGGCATCTTTCAGCAATAGCATCAGCTTATGAAAATGTGGCATTACTGCACTGCACAAAGATTCTTTTCCAATTAAGCCGAGTTAAACTTGAAATGAAAGAGAGGCTTATTCACACTTACCCTGGACACGCTCTGAGATTCCAAGCGTTTTCTGCACATTTCTGCAAATTTTGGAGAGGCAGGACTGAAACTGCTCATCACAATCATTTTTTGTATTACCACAAGTATCGTAGCATCTGTCGTGGTGATTGCAGCACTTTGTCATCGATGGGATACCGATGTCAAACTGTGAAGAAAATCCCCCCACACCCACTCCATTAGTATTCCAGTTAAGAAAGATGCAGCCTACAAATAGGCTGGAACAGTCATAAATTACAAACTAATGCAATCAACGCAGCTGTCATTCACTTCTCTCTCTGCATTGTGCTGTTCACCTCTAGTCAGCTGCAGTGGTTTGGCTCCAGCCAGCAGCCAAGCACCCCTAGAGTTGCTTGCTCACCTCCCATCCCCCTCCTTGTAAGGGAGAGATTAGGAAGAGGAAAAGCAAGAAAACTTGCAGGTTGAGATAAAGACAGTTAAACAGATGAATGGAAGAGGAAGAAAATGCCACAAAATTAGCAGTGCAAAGGTAATCATTTACCACATCCCACAAGCAGATGGATGTCCAGCCAGTGTGATAACAGCCACCTTGGAAGCCAAACACACATACTATCACCATCACCCTTCCTTTCTTCCACTATTCCAGGTCTTGTTTCTGAGTGTGACTCTGTGTAGTACAGAATATCCCTCTAACCAGCTTGGGTCAGCTGCCCCTGCTGTGTCCCCTTCCATTCTCTTGCCCAGCCCCAGCCTGCGTTCTGGGGTGGTGGAGAGGCAGAGTGGGAGCAAAAGAGAAAGCCCTAAAGCTGTGCAATCACTGTGCAGCAATAGCCAACACTAACAGTGTTCTGGCCCAAATTCCCAAACACAGCACCATGCAGCCTGCTATGAGGAAACTCCATCCCAGCCAGATCCAGTACATAAGCTAATGTGTATTTTCTTTCTAGCACTAAGCAAAATGGATTAGTGTCAGCAAGGACAGAAGGAGTCAGAGCCAAACCCTCCACTCTCACATGGCTACGGTAGGGGTTATTCAATGCTTTCAAGATTCTGAGAACAAAACCCTAAACCAAACATTCAAAAATTATAAATTAGTCATCAACATTAAATTTTATCCCTATCATATTTTATATCAATGGTGAAGATGTTTATGCTGTGTTTGTTTATAATACTAAATTTTTCCATATGTTACTACCAAAGCATGGTAAAGCAAGGACATTGTACATGGATGCTGTCTCATCCTTAGAACAGGGGAGGGAGAAGACTACCTACATCGAGGAAAACTGATGTATGGAAGACACACAGAAAAACCCGAAATGGAAGTACTCACCTGAACTCCAAACAGAGGGGATCCACAACCATTCGGTGGTGATGGTTTATATCCATAACGAGGAAAGGGCTTTGATCCTGAAAAAGGTAATTTATCATGCTTCAAACAGATTGGTTTTTTTTTTTCAGAGAATTTTAGTGCTATTAAAACTCACCACAGGCATTTGTGTGGCTTAAGACGTATCAGTTATATTTTTAAATTAAACATATATTGAGGCACCTAAATATCAACAATTCGTACCAAATGACACTGTAGAGATACTAAGCATTTTTTAAAACACAGGGACAAGAAACCTCAGCAAGTGTCACTGTTCGGTCCCGAGTTAAAAAAAGAGCTTGAGTTACTGAAATTGATGTGTCATTACATTAAAGTGTACTTTAGAGTAAGTTCATTGATACTTCTACTACCACTAACCACCAGAGGTGGTCTGATTATTTTTTTTAGCTTAACCTTTAAAATTAACTGTAATGAAACATCTCTTTATTTCTACAACTCTAACATTAATAAAATTTAAATCTGTGCAGACTGCTAAAGCCGCATCTCCCTGAACGCTTACTAGTGCACCAACGCAGGGAATTCTGCATCCCAAGTTAAGGAAGATTGTGGAGTTAATTGGAACAATTACCCCCTCTCCCCTTGTTTCTGTATTAGAAACAAACCAAGACCACAACTGAAAGTAACAAAGAAAGAGCGTATTTGGAAAGTGCATGTTCTGCCACAGAGAGGAAACCTCACGGTGTCCTGGCCACTCCTGCGGAGCCAGGGTGCCGCCACTGACCACCTTTCGTGACTTGACAAATCATCCACCCCAGTAAACTGAGGGTGAGTCGATTCGGCCGAGAGAGACCAAGAGGGTCTGTGAGTACCCTGTGTTTGGGGGCACGCTGAAAACCCTGCAAGAAACGCCCTTCAGAGAGTCGCCCGCCTGACACCCGACAAGGGAGCCGCCTCCAAGAGGGATATACGTATATGTATATATGTATCCACACGTATAAGAACTTGTTAGTGAGGTTTCCTCTGCGGCTGCGCCCCGGTTCCCTGAGAGCGCCGGCCGCCCGCCCTCGCAGCCGCGGCCGGGCCCGCCCGCCTGAAGCAAGCCGGCTTCGGCAGAGCAAGGGTCGCCGCGGCCCGGCGGGGTCCCTCCCCAGCACCCGCCTCACCGTCGCTGCACTTGTACTGGCAGAGGCCGTCCTCGCCGCCCAGGAGGTCGAGCGCCGCGTTGAGGTACACGTCGATCTTGTGCACTCCGTTGCGGATGGTCTTCAGCATCATCCGCCAGTCGGGGGTCTGCGGCGGCGGCGCCTCCTGGCACCGCGCCGGCCGCGGGCCCAGCCAGGCGCAAGTCGCCAGCACCAGCAGCACGGCGCGGGTCATGCCTGAGCGGCGCCCCGGGGCGCCGGGCGCCCGCTAAGCCGCCGCCTTCTCCGTCACCTACCGGCTCCCAAAGCGGCGGCCCAGCCCCCCGGGCACCGCCCCTGCCCGCCCGGCGGGGAGGGGCCTGCCGCCGCCGCGCTGTGGGAGCGACGCCGACAGCCCCAGGGCCTCCGCAGAGCAGGCGGATAGTGTTTGTGTGATAGTACGGCTGGAGCGGCGCGGCCGTTCGCTTCCTCAAGGCCAGACGGACTGCCGACAGTCGGAAAGGGACTGGGGCGGGTCGGAGGGAGGCAAGTGAGCGATGGCTTCGAGGGCAAGAGCAGGGAGCCGGGCAGAGCCTGTCACCGCACCTGCAGGTGGCAGAATCAGTCGCTGCGGGACGCGGACTCGCACCTACTGGCTTACAAAGGCGGGCTGTTCCGAGAGGAGCAGGTCACGGTGCCCCTTGTGCAGGGGGGACCTTTCCCAAACCTGCCCAGGTACACAGCGGGAGAGCCGCTGGTGCCAGTGCGGCTGCGCAGGGCCGGGGGAGGCAGTCGTGCTGTCAGGTAATACAAACCACAGGGAGGTTGTACTTAGAAAACCTTTATTTAATAGCTGTGTTAGAAGTGATGAACTTGGCATTGCTAAAAGTGGAAGAGTCTGCAGTAGCGTTTTGACGGAAAGGCAGAATGACTGATTTTCTAGCCAGCCATTGGGATATTGCATCCTTGGGGCCAAGTGGATGGAAGAACAGGATTAGTGCCGGACACATCGGGGCTTGGTTGCTCTGCTGACTCAGTGCAAACGCTGCTCTCCTTCCGTGCAGTGTGGGGGAGAACTTGTATTTAATACAGCTAGAGAAACATGACCTTTTGGGAAGCACACTCATTCAGAAGCCAACAAAAATGCAGTAGGGAACATGAAGTGTTAACATTTTGACATTATTATAATAATGATGTTCAATGTGAAGGAAATGGATCCAGTGACCTTTACACATGACAGTTTCAGGTAACATCATCAAATGTGCAAGACGGGGTTGTAAAAGAGGGCAGAATGAAAGTAAACCTATTAAACATGAAAAGCCTAGTCTTGATTTGTTGAAAAGTCAGACCAAAATGAAATTGCTTGCTAAATATCCTGTTTAGTTTTGGGATTTTTATCTGTTTTATTATAATATTTATTTTTTTATTTTATATTTAAAATCCAGATGCTTCACAGATGAGCTGTAGTGGAACTATGTGGAAATAGTTTAACTTTTGTAATGAAAGCTTTAAGACCTGTGGAATCCCTCAGAACATAGTAGTATTTGGCTTCAGAACAAAGTTAATTGTAAGGATGGACAGGAAATGTAAAGAAACTTCTGAGGAACTTCCAGATCAACAGGCACACCAGAAAGAATCATAGTAAATATTCTACTGTTTTTTCTCTTTTCAGTGTCAGCATTTAATATTATTTGTAGTTAACTGAAGAAGTAGGTGAGAAAAGTTCCTTACAGAAGTTAAGTCAAACAAAAGGGGGAGCTCTTCCTACACCCATCCAGCATCCAGCTTTTCCCTATGATTAGTTTACAAATACCCAACAAAACAGACCCATTCAACAAAATAATTCCTGCATAGGAATATATTTAAATGCTTTCCTAAATAAGCAAGCCTTGTTGGTGGGGGTTAAGAAAAACAATTTGTACCGTTACTTTAACTGTTGGTGATTGTCAGTGTCTTTACATGACAAATTCATGCTGATGCGGGTTTTTTACAAGACGGGAGGAAAAGTCAATGAAAATGTAAAAATGTCATTGGAAGCAAAGTATGGTGAATTATAGAAAAAACAGCACCACAACTGTGGTGTGTGATCATATGCCATTTATTCAACAGGATAATCATTGAGAAGAATAAAATAAAATAGATACTAAAACCATTTCTAATTTAAAATACAGTGAAGTATGTTCTAAAGCTATTGAGCCGTTTGATAGAATTTACCTGAAGCTATTTGACAGTTTAGTGTCAGGGTCACCAATCCACAAACCAAATCCTAGTACTTGTAAAAAAATTATGCACACTCTCTGTGCATAACTCTTGCAGAATGTGAGACTATTATGCATAGAGTGACATTTTCTTATAGCCGGCACCGTTACTGCTGCCTAAAATTGTGTAACTTAGCAGTGGTTCTTTGGGCCTGTGCTTCCTATTACCATGTGGGCAGAACTTCCTCACAAGGAACAAAGCAGAGGTTTTTCTATTTAATCACTGCAGTTTTGTTGATGGCCCCTTGTCTTTGTCCAGTTCTGGATCAGTTATGGCAGTAGCAACACTCCCTATCTGCATACTGCAGGGTCAGGCCCTAGATGCTCTTTCTTGGCATTAACTGTTTCATGCTTCTGTATATTTCTGTAGGAAGCTTGTGTTAATCTGAGAATCCAGTGGGGAGGTTTTATGACTGAGAGTATTAATTTTTAACTTTAGATCTGTAACTTGGTTTTGTAGACTTAAGTCTATATGTACAATATACAGACTTTCCACTTTAATGAATTTATATTGTTATGTATACTGCATATGTTTGTATGTGTGTATATATAAATATATATGCAATAAAACTGTACTTGCTGTTAAGAATTTGTTGGATACCAGAAATACATATATACACATACACAGAGAACTTAAGACAGTAAAGATGCTTTTAATTTAAGATTCAGGTTTTAAAACTCCTTTGTAGCTTTTGATCAGCTGTAGTTAAATTATTAAAACTTAAGAGCTACAAAAATTGCCCCAAGATAGGTGATCGGATGAGGAACATTAACTAGGTAAAAATTGTCTTGAGTTTGTAGCTGAAAAAAATACCACCATAAGAGTTATTATTTTGGTATCATTATATTACGACAAATTTAATCATTATAGTCAATCTGTCAATTAATAGATTGTCTGAAGTCTACTTTTGCAGTAAGCCTGAAGAATCAGCTGCCAAGCAAGGCAGCATCCTGAGGGTTTCTAGTGACCTAGACCTTGAGATGATGCAAGTTCTTGAAAGTACTCTGTTTGCTGTCTTTTCTGTGAAGTTCACATACTGCCAGTGCAGTCATTTTCCAATCACTGCTTTCAGTGTGGGTGTTGCATTTTAACTAAATAAACAACTGCAACTGAATGGAATGTGAAATATGGAAAAAAACCCCAAAGAACCAAAACCAAAAAAACCCCAAAGTAACAACAAGATATTTTAATTTCCAGCTTTTATTAGAGTCTTTTGCTGTGGACTCATGACTGTAAAATTCTGTTCTTACAGGTTTCCGTAAAACTGTGGAATTGTGGCATTCACAGGGCATTAAGAATTTTCAAAATATATTCTTTAAAGATTTGTACTGTTTTTAAGTCACATGGCTGCTGATTGTAAAAAAGGACCAATGTGCATTTTTGCATGGGTGATAAGAGGGAAATATTTAATTTTTCAAGCTTTAGGCATTATACCGTGAAATGAGACTCCTTTTCACATGATGGCTAATCCAGTCATAATAGCTGGCAATTTTTGTATACACACCAGGGTGACCAGCCTCCCCACAGTTCTCACCCCAACTCACAACACCCCAGAGATACGCCACATTTTCTGCGTCAAAACAGACCAAAGGTCCTCCTGAATCGCCTTTGCAACTGTCTGTGGAGCCATCGTAAGTACCTGAAGCAAAAGAAGAAATAAAAGGCAAAAAATAAGTTCATATACACTCTAGCACACAAAACAGAGCTCAGGAGTTTTTTCAGGTCCTTGCCACTTCCTGGCAGATGTTTGCCTAATGATCACCAGAAAGGGGGCTCCTGACTTCTTTGGTCTCTTATTTCTCCTTTCTTTGTAAGTGCAGGGCCTCTCTTTACATTTGTGGCTGGCCAAAATTATTCTAATTTGCTCTGATGTCAGTGATGTGGGTCTTGTTTTACCCTGTGCAGTAGAGAATCCAGCCATATGGCCTATTATACCATTAAAAGTAGCTCATAAAAAGTGACCAAAAACAGAAGGTAAAAGGTAGAAAGATTTATAGGCTGATTCCTACGGCAGTGAAGCTATCATGCTATGTTTATGCCTATGTGCCTGCATTTGGCATCCCCTCTACCCAGTAATTTCTTGGCCAGTTTCATCTGTACACAGCTGTACAGCGAGGCAGAGGGCCTCAAAATTTTCTCTACCAGCTTTATGAAAATAGGTCAAAAGCATGTGGATGCTGGGATGGGAGGGAGAGCAACTGTCTGTAAGTGCTCTTATTGCAAGGTCTTGGTCATAACGTGGACTAAATAGCAGCCCTGAGGCACAAGTGCGTAGGATCCTGAATTCTTCATAAGTCTCAATGTTCACAGAACTACTTATTTGCAATACAGCTCCTGAAAAACTGAATTAAGAGTGAAGGATGTGATCTAAACAGAAATACTGTTGCAGACCTAGAATATGATTTATGCTTTATCTTATATCAGTAAAAGTTTATTAATTTCTAACACCCTTACTACAATTTTCTGCTGTGTTGATTGACCTAGTATGAAGGAGACCGTACTATGCATGAGTCTCCAAGTTTTAAAAACATAACCTCTTTCTTCAGTCCCTACATTACTGAGGAAGAGTTTTGTGAACTCTTCGGAGCTGGAATTACTAATCCTGGAAAACAGGATTTCATTGCTTTTGTTCAATTTAATTAATACTTGCTTGTGTAACTAACTCCTGGGGATACTAGCCCTTAATTCCCGAGTTTGTATTTGCATCAGGGAGCAGAACCTAACTCCAGATACCCCTTTTATGATGTTTTCCTATATGATACTGCCTTTGTTCCTTTCTGGTAAAGTATGATCACTTGAAATAACTTGAAGATCAAGGAGATAAGTTATGGAACTTGCACAGTAGACAAACCTAGTATCTTACAGATCTCATGCTGAATTTATCACAAATTAGAATCATAGAATCATAGAATAGTTAGGGCTGGAAAGGACCTTAAGATCATCTAGTTCCACTCCCCCTGCCATGGGCAAGGAGACCTCACACTAAACCGTGACACCCAAGGCTGTGTCCAACCTGGCCTTGAACACCACCAGGATTGGAGCATTCACAGCTTCCTTGGGCAGCCCATTACAGTGCCCTCACCACTCCTACAG